AAAAAAAAAAAAAAAAAAAAAAAAAGAAAAAAAAGAAACGGAGAGAAAAAAGAATTTAAAAGAAACTTTGATTCGAAACGTAACGATAATCCCATCGAGATCTTCTTTCGAGTAAACAGTACCTGGTACCGGACGTAAGTACTCGAGACTTCTTGGCAACGTCGCGTAAATTGCATGCGATGTGTTGCTGAAGCCGTCGTTGGATGTTTCTGAGGTGTGCGTTCGTGATCCTGACCATGGGGATTGCTGCGCTGCTTACTCGTTCGACTGGACGTTGATCGATCGAACGTAAATCGATCCGACCGTTCGACTAATGAAATACCACGGCTAACGCGATCGAAAGCAGCGCAAAATCGTCATGGTATATCTGGAACGAGTTTAAAAGAGCAGAAACTTTTGTTTCCTTTGCAGCCTGTCGGGTTGTCCGCGAGCCGATCGTTCGCAGATCCAGGCGCATTCTCAAGAGCTCAAGTGTCCTACCCCAGGATGCGACGGTTCGGGACACGTGACCGGCAACTATTCGTCTCACAGAAGTTTATCCGGCTGTCCGAGGGCTAACAAGCCGAAGAGCAAGCCTCGAGATGGACAGGACTCGGAGCCACTGAGGTTAGTGAACGCTGACGTCGCCCTATCGATCTTTCGCCAATCGGAACCCGCTACTAGGTCTCTCGAGACCCTCCTCGCAAATTGTTTTCTCTGATAAATCCTTTCCGCTGAAAATCGCCCTGGCTGAAAGTAATCTTGGCTGACAATGAGAGTAAAATGGCAAGCTGGATGTAGGAAAATCGGGAAATGAACGCGATCGACTGCCGTATAGAGAGAGAAATATAGAATGGGATTAATCGAGGGGGGGGGGACTCTAGTCTGTTGCAAACTCTGCGAGTCGTGTAACACGTAATCGCGATCCCAATTTGCGCCTTCGTCGCGTTCGCACGTTGCACGCAGCTACGTGGGTATCTTGCTGACCGCATTGCACGTGCTAAGATCCGCTGGCAGACCGAAAAGGGGCGACCCCATCCCTCTCCACGCGGTCCTTCCCTTAAACCTCATCCGCTTCCTAACGCAAAGACGAAGACGCTGACTAATAACCAGCGGTTTCCGCTCGTTTCATGCTCGCTCTCTGTGTGGATGGATTGTGTGGTGGTGATGGTAATGGTGGTGTTGGCATTTCGGACTACAGATGTCCGATTCCCGGTTGCGACGGGTCTGGCCATGCCACTGGCAAATTCTTGTCGCATCGCAGGTAAGATTTCCTAGCGATTTCTTAGTGGAACATTAGTGGAACGTCGGATATTGTCGATCTTACGCGCGATTGAAGTTTCACAGCGTTTAGATCGGGATATCGTATCGTTTGGTTCTTAACGTCGCCGGTGAAAGTTGACGCGTGTAAAAATGATCGGAGAATTGTAATTAATTGGACGATATTAACGTCGGTCGAGTAACGAACGTTTATTAAGCTTGAATCCGAACGAAGATCAATATCTACAATGTCCTGCATCGGTTCCTTCCTTTTGTTTCTGTCCCCGTGTATCAACGTGATGAAAAATTCAGAACACTCGAGACAATTGGTTGATTGAAAGAAAAAAAGGAGAAGAAAAGAAATCATCCCTTTGTTTATTTCTCTCCCTTTCTCTTAATTCCAGCAACCAGTGCACGCGTCATTAGCAACGTTTTCTTTTCCTTTTGGTAAAATTCGAAATTGTCGGCGGTGGATGAAACAACGTGTCCTTAATTGCGATAACAACGACTTGTTGCAGCGCATCGGGCTGCCCCATTGCGAACAGGAACAAGGCGCGTGTACTAGAATCCGGAGGTACGGTGGAGCAGCACAAAGCAGCGGTGGCCGCGGCGACAGCGATGAAGTTCGAGGGTGTGAACTGTCCCACGCCCGGTTGCGACGGGATGGGCCACGTAAACGGCTCGTTCTCGACTCACAGATCCCTGTCCGGTTGTCCGATAGCCGGACACGCGGTGAAGAAGCCAAAGTTCGAGGACATGTCGAGCATGTACAGCAAAGGAATCACCGGAGGTGAGGATCAAGCTCCTGCCTCCGATGCCGTTCGCGTCTTCGATTATCGATGCGGAGCGTTTTTAATCGAAGGACGAAAGAAAGGGAACGAAATGGGTTTGCTCCTCGTGAACGAGTCGACGATGATCGATATTACGAATGTTCGCTGTAAATACGAGATCTCATTCACGTCGAGCTGCGTACCTGATGTCGCGACATGTGATTGCCTACCACAGTGGGGTAGAAGCGAAAATCGTAGAGTAGGCATGATCATTCGAGCCGTTTGCCTTTTTATTCTTTTCTCGCGCCTTGCTCGTCCAGCGTACGATCCTCTTGTCGACCTTGGTGACGGATTAGACTTGCTCGATACACGCGTGAAGAGCCATTGGAAATTTGGACGAGTGGATGGCAATGAAACCGGGGCAAAATTTATTCGACCTTTATTCGTAAACTTGTGCATATACGACCTTGTACTTGATCCTATGCTATGCCATACTCTACTCTTCACGCAATGATGTGCTGTCATACCAACAAGAGTGACCTCGTCCTTCTTCCCGTCCCACTTCTGTCTACCCGTATATTCGGTTATTTCTTTCGTCGTTTCTACTTCGATGTTACGTTACGTTCTCGCTCTCCTTTTTCTGCGAGACATCGGTATCCAGGTGTTTTCGAGTCTTTCTTTTTCGTTTTTTTCATTCCTCCACGAGGGAACGGAGATGCGCGGAGTTCGTTGAGCAACGAGAGGAAGAGAGCGGGAGAATTATAGAGAAAATGAACTAGCGAGGAACACCTGAACCGGGCACCTCGACATCCACTGTGTGTCAATTTGCTTCTTCCGAAATATGAATTTGGCCCCGCGCGAAATCCCATTTCCCACGTTCGCTTTGTGCAGGAACGAAACAAATAGAAAAAGGGAAAAAGAAAGATAATAAAGACCAAGAGAACGAAAAGAAAGAAAAAAAGAAAGAAAAATAACCGTATGTCATAATAATGAAAAATAATATATTCTGATTTATTCTGGGATCACGATCAGCTCCTTTCCTGTCATTGAGCTTTGAGGAGAACATTTACTTTTGAAGGTAAGGGACTGACGTACTCGCCATTTGTTTTCTATGTGTTTTCGGTGTTACATACAAGATCCACACACCAGTAATTTTACTTTTTACGAGATGACGTCCGAGTGTTGGCAGCACCGGTTGTAGAGACACAAGCTGTCCCTGTTACAGCTGTTCCATTGAACGTTTCGCGGTCTCATCGCGCGATTAAAAAAAAAAAAAAAAAAAAAAAAAAAAAAAAAAACGAGGAAGGCCAGCACTCGGTGTCTCCCATTTTTTTCTTCTATCTGGTATGATGGCACCTCACGCTACCCCTTATATCACCCTAACATCGTCCCCGATCATTCTGTTTTCCTGCGGCACTCCTGTCAGGTTCGTGCGTCTGTCAATGAGCTAACGCGTCACTCGTCTCATCGAGAGAACAAGTTGCCGCGTTTGCGAGCTAGACCAGCTCTTTTCCATCACCTCAGCACGAACCACTCGCAGAAGAAACCGTACCGATCCCATATTTCAGACAAATCCTCATGCAGCGACTTGGGATACTTTCTAGACTATACCGCCTAGCAAGCGATCATTGTCGTGCGATCAAACGAACCTGCGATGTGACGATGCACTTATTTTCCACAAAAAAAAGCAAAAAAAAAAAAAAAAAAAAAAAAAAAAAAAAAAAAAAAACGAAAGAATGTTACCCGACCATTAGGCCAACCCAAATCGCTGTCCGAAGCTTTCCTGGCGCTACTTTACATACGCTCTCGCCACATTCTCACATTTTATTGTATATGAATCCCGCACACCTGTCAAGAATTACGTAACTAGTAACATCATTTCTCTGTAACGTCGAGTTGCTTCTATTATAACAAAAAAGATATACATATCTATATAATTCGCGTGAAGGTCTTTGACGAGCTTCGGTCAAGATCTTGGGTTGATCGAATTTTATTAATCGTCTCGGCTTCCTACGGTTTTCCACGAACCTGCCCTTGTTCTCGAGATCGTCGACCTAGCTTGTGTATGGATATCAGCTGAAAAGAAAGTCTGTCGAAAGTGTCTCGAGAACAGGGTGAAAGCCGTTGGAAATCGGGAGAAGCGAAGTAAGAAGTAAAAAGAAAATGAATAAGAAGCAGAGCAGAGAAAGACAGGTTTGTTAAAATGGACCGTGTATGTCCTATCTTCAGGAGTGGACACCAGTGGTCCGGCTCACGGGGGTGCGGTGGGTACGGGTCAGGGTAACACGAGTGGTAGCGGTACCGCCAGTGGCCAGAGCGAGGATCTCTACACACTGGAGGCCGAAATCACGGAGCTCCAGAGAGAGAACGCTCGGGTCGAATCGCAGGTGCTGCGCTTGCGCTCCGATATCACCGCCATGGAGAACCAGCTGAAGCAAGGTGAAAAGGTCAGTACGCTTGTACTCAGTCGGTAATCGATTATTACCATGCGCTGATAGGAATGGCAGAGAGACTTCCAGTTGCTAGCCGAGCAGAACGCTACACCATCTGGGCTAGAACTTCCATTCGCGATCCCGTGGAAACGTTCCTGTTACGGCGGAATGGCGTAGAGCATGGACGAAATTCGTGGAAATTCTAGCCCGGATTACAGATCCCGTATCATTCGTTGCTAACGTAGATCGGTGCTGTCGAAACTAACTCCAGTTGCTCGGGAAGTTTCCCTTTATTTCGACCCGCGAGATTCAAAATTACCACCCATGGACAGCACCGATCTCTTCGCTGTTGCCTGTAGCTCACGATAGATCCTTGCTGTGTGAATTTTGTTAAATCACCTAGAGCATGTTTGACGTACGTTTGTAAAAATGACTGGTTTTTCTTTTGCAGGAATCAACGACGATTACCCAGCGAAACAACAACCTGACCGAGTACTATCAATCGCTGCGCGATAACATGATAACGCTGTTGGAGCACGTGCGAATACCGAACGCCCCGGGCGGACCGCAGGAGAAAATGGGCCACGAGAACTTCGACAGTTACCTGACGAAGCTGCAGACACTGTGCACCGCCGATGGTTACTGCACGGACGAGGCGAACAGGCCGATATACGAGACGGTGAAGACCGCGCTGCAGGACTTCACCGTCCTACCGACACCCATCTGAGACCATCCTTAAAGCTCGGCGATCGGATACGACGCAACACGTTTCACGCGGTGACTTGGCTGTCTTTGCGACGACGAGGTAACCGTTCAGAGACACAGAGGTTCGCGTGGTTGCCCATAATGGACAGGCTGTTTGTGCGACGAACGTGAATCGTGTGTCGGTAAAGGAAAGAACAGAGAGACCATAAACGGAACGAGTATGGTGTACCTCCGTGCTGACTGAGGGAGGATCGAAAGGACTCTTTACGAATTATCGGGTGATCTGCTCCTGTGTACCAAGATGAGAAACAAGTGGACGGTGGATCTTGGACACGTGGAGGACGATTGTATAGACTGTTAGTAAATGTTATAACAACGGTATCTAAGGCATCCTCTGATAATCGTTCAGTGTGATCTCGCGGAACCGTGCGGACTGACGTTGCTCATAGCGATATCTTTTGTATATAACGAACACGTAGGACGTAAGAGTACGGTAAGGCCGGGAGCGAGTGACGGTGATTGTAAATAAGCGGCAGAGAAAGCATTTATATATTATTCGACGAAAACGTTAATGTGGTTATCACTCTTAAGACGTGTAAAGAATAAGGTCGGCGAAGAAGAGGCGACACACCGGAGGACACAAGCGCGAACACGAATGATTAGCTTAGATGTATATCGAACAAACGTATCGCTCTTACCAGTGCATAACTGTTACTACCCGTTAAGCCATTAAACGTTTAAAAAGTACGAGAGTGTGGAACCGCTGCGATGCTGCTTCTGCTAAAATGAAAAATGGAAAAAAAAAAAAGAAGAAAGAACCGACGGCTACTTATAAATTACTATTGCGTACTTATTACAGCTAGATATTATTATTACTACTATCGTCACTGTTACAACCACCGAGATCGTTTCTAGGACTAATCCAATCATTATTATTATTATTGCTACCACTACTCTTACTACTGTCTGATATAGGATATAGCGACGAGTATACCGACGCATTTATATTATAAACGAGTCTACAAAACGGCGAAACACGTTGTCCATAGTGTGTACATAGTCGACAGAGAAATTACTTAATATTATACGAGCGTTCGGCGAGCATCGCTGATCCACTTGGCTAATTGCGCGTGAGATGATCGATGGGAGAAGATTCTGCGCGGGGTAAACCTCGAGGTGTAATAACGCGGTGCACGTGCACGCGAGATCGCTGGTGCAGCCAGCTCGTTAATTGTCAAAATGTCAATCGCAAACACGGTGTGTACTTATCGAATTTCCAAGCGTTAGACGGCGCGTCGAGGATCGACGAGACGTGCGAGTCGCAAGGACGGTCCTTGACCAACTGTGCGAGTCGCCAGTCGATCGTCGATCGAGCGGAACGAGGAATACACGTTCTTTTGTGCAATAGCTTCTCCAAACGTTCTACGTTCGTTTCTTTCGTTGAAGAAATTTATTAGGATAAACGGATACGCGCGGTCACGGCGCGCACGGTTGCGTCTGTGTAAGTCATTTTCATCGGTACATTTACGTCCCTCTATATCGTAACTTGGCGTTATCGAGTCGCGAGGCACGCGTGGAACCGAGCGTGTAAATATCGGTGTGCGTTCCCGCGAGCATCGCGAAACGACGAGTATCTTATGCCTCTTGAAGGCTTTAAACGATCCAAAGCTCAACGAGGAAGAGGAAATTTCTGACAATACGCGTCGTCGAATCGGCAAACCAAGCGTTTCCGGTCTATTTCTCTGGCATCGATACGTACACGAGAGAACGAGGGTGGATGTCGATAACGGGGTTTCCGTGAAATTATCGTTAACTTTTGACGAGGTGACGAGGTGTATAGACTCGGTGTGCGACTTGTTCGAAAGGAAGACCATGGAGGAAACGCGAGACGATGGAAAAAGAGGCAAAGATATTTCGCGTACAGCGCTTATTATTTTGCAGACTGAACTAATTTCGCGACAGTAGAACGAGCGAGTGTATATAAAGGGAAGAGAAGAGAATCCGGGTGGTAGAATACAGGAAAATCGATTATTCGTCTGTTTCGTGGACAGACCGGATGAAAGATACCGTGAGAAGATGAATATACTTTAACCAAACACCGTGTAGTGAGAGTAATAATAAATTAAAAAAAGTATAGCGATAGTCGGCCGACGATTACGATTAATCTTCGACGTTATCATTATTCTTGTCATTGTCATTATCATTACGATTATAATTACCATCGTCACTGTGATTAGATATATTTTTTTGCTCAACACGAATCGAATACAGGCGGCGGGAAGACGGACAAACAGACATTCACGATCGATACATGTTCAATCTTCCCAGGGGGTTACCATTCCGACGATATTATTGCTATTATTGCCATTATTACCACTATTGTCGTTACGTTCTCGTCATTATTACGATTATTATTGTTGCCGTTGATAAAGTTGTACGAATATATAAGTTCAATGACATGCTTTAAGTAAGTATAAATGTTACTCCGATTGAATAAAGGGTATTTATCGATGAATCTGGAACTCGTTCTTTTCAGACCTTTTAGAAAATTTGCGATGCCACGATGACAAAATGCGGTATTCGACAACATGGCGGGTATCTATGATATATTTTCTAAATTTATCTCTGAAGATCATACGACCAATCCGACTCGTGATTTACTAGGGAATATTTGCTTGGCGTTGATGGTTCCACTAGGAACCGCCATTTTGAATTTACCTGCCTGCCTTCTGCCTGTCGAAAACGACATTCATCGAGGAAGTGGTGCAGGAAATAAAGTCAAATTTAAAAGTTGCCTATCATTATATTTGCATTTTCATTATAAAAAAAGAGTCTTGTTTCACAAAGCAACGTCGTATTCGACATAGTGACGTATCGTATAATACCTGCATCATCGTATATATCACAATAAAATGGACGTGCGAATGAATTTCGCATGTGGTATGTACATCGTGTAAAATGACAATCATCGAAATCATATGGCAAGCAAACGTATTTCCTCTAAAAAGCCGCACGATTGTCTAAGCGATGATACTCGGAACGTTTCCGGTTCCGACACTTTTTAGGACTCCTACTTTTCGCCTCCTACTCCTCTCCGTCTTTCAAGGGTTTCGTCGAGTTATTCGAACAACGACGAACGCTATTCCTCGTGAAGATAAGGAACACGTATAGATCCTACACAGATATGACATAGAAACGCACGACGCGTGTAGAATACCAACTATTCGTATTTAAAAAAAAAAAAAAAAAAAAAAAAAAAAAAAAAACGAAAGAATGTTACCCGACCATTAGGCCAACCCAAATCGCTGTCCGAAGCTTTCCTGGCGCTACTTTACATACGCTCTCGCCACATTCTCACATTTTATTGTATATGAATCCCGCACACCTGTCAAGAATTACGTAACTAGTAACATCATTTCTCTGTAACGTCGAGTTGCTTCTATTATAACAAAAAAGATATACATATCTATATAATTCGCGTGAAGGTCTTTGACGAGCTTCGGTCAAGATCTTGGGTTGATCGAATTTTATTAATCGTCTCGGCTTCCTACGGTTTTCCACGAACCTGCCCTTGTTCTCGAGATCGTCGACCTAGCTTGTGTATGGATATCAGCTGAAAAGAAAGTCTGTCGAAAGTGTCTCGAGAACAGGGTGAAAGCCGTTGGAAATCGGGAGAAGCGAAGTAAGAAGTAAAAAGAAAATGAATAAGAAGCAGAGCAGAGAAAGACAGGTTTGTTAAAATGGACCGTGTATGTCCTATCTTCAGGAGTGGACACCAGTGGTCCGGCTCACGGGGGTGCGGTGGGTACGGGTCAGGGTAACACGAGTGGTAGCGGTACCGCCAGTGGCCAGAGCGAGGATCTCTACACACTGGAGGCCGAAATCACGGAGCTCCAGAGAGAGAACGCTCGGGTCGAATCGCAGGTGCTGCGCTTGCGCTCCGATATCACCGCCATGGAGAACCAGCTGAAGCAAGGTGAAAAGGTCAGTACGCTTGTACTCAGTCGGTAATCGATTATTACCATGCGCTGATAGGAATGGCAGAGAGACTTCCAGTTGCTAGCCGAGCAGAACGCTACACCATCTGGGCTAGAACTTCCATTCGCGATCCCGTGGAAACGTTCCTGTTACGGCGGAATGGCGTAGAGCATGGACGAAATTCGTGGAAATTCTAGCCCGGATTACAGATCCCGTATCATTCGTTGCTAACGTAGATCGGTGCTGTCGAAACTAACTCCAGTTGCTCGGGAAGTTTCCCTTTATTTCGACCCGCGAGATTCAAAATTACCACCCATGGACAGCACCGATCTCTTCGCTGTTGCCTGTAGCTCACGATAGATCCTTGCTGTGTGAATTTTGTTAAATCACCTAGAGCATGTTTGACGTACGTTTGTAAAAATGACTGGTTTTTCTTTTGCAGGAATCAACGACGATTACCCAGCGAAACAACAACCTGACCGAGTACTATCAATCGCTGCGCGATAACATGATAACGCTGTTGGAGCACGTGCGAATACCGAACGCCCCGGGCGGACCGCAGGAGAAAATGGGCCACGAGAACTTCGACAGTTACCTGACGAAGCTGCAGACACTGTGCACCGCCGATGGTTACTGCACGGACGAGGCGAACAGGCCGATATACGAGACGGTGAAGACCGCGCTGCAGGACTTCACCGTCCTACCGACACCCATCTGAGACCATCCTTAAAGCTCGGCGATCGGATACGACGCAACACGTTTCACGCGGTGACTTGGCTGTCTTTGCGACGACGAGGTAACCGTTCAGAGACACAGAGGTTCGCGTGGTTGCCCATAATGGACAGGCTGTTTGTGCGACGAACGTGAATCGTGTGTCGGTAAAGGAAAGAACAGAGAGACCATAAACGGAACGAGTATGGTGTACCTCCGTGCTGACTGAGGGAGGATCGAAAGGACTCTTTACGAATTATCGGGTGATCTGCTCCTGTGTACCAAGATGAGAAACAAGTGGACGGTGGATCTTGGACACGTGGAGGACGATTGTATAGACTGTTAGTAAATGTTATAACAACGGTATCTAAGGCATCCTCTGATAATCGTTCAGTGTGATCTCGCGGAACCGTGCGGACTGACGTTGCTCATAGCGATATCTTTTGTATATAACGAACACGTAGGACGTAAGAGTACGGTAAGGCCGGGAGCGAGTGACGGTGATTGTAAATAAGCGGCAGAGAAAGCATTTATATATTATTCGACGAAAACGTTAATGTGGTTATCACTCTTAAGACGTGTAAAGAATAAGGTCGGCGAAGAAGAGGCGACACACCGGAGGACACAAGCGCGAACACGAATGATTAGCTTAGATGTATATCGAACAAACGTATCGCTCTTACCAGTGCATAACTGTTACTACCCGTTAAGCCATTAAACGTTTAAAAAGTACGAGAGTGTGGAACCGCTGCGATGCTGCTTCTGCTAAAATGAAAAATGGAAAAAAAAAAAAGAAGAAAGAACCGACGGCTACTTATAAATTACTATTGCGTACTTATTACAGCTAGATATTATTATTACTACTATCGTCACTGTTACAACCACCGAGATCGTTTCTAGGACTAATCCAATCATTATTATTATTATTGCTACCACTACTCTTACTACTGTCTGATATAGGATATAGCGACGAGTATACCGACGCATTTATATTATAAACGAGTCTACAAAACGGCGAAACACGTTGTCCATAGTGTGTACATAGTCGACAGAGAAATTACTTAATATTATACGAGCGTTCGGCGAGCATCGCTGATCCACTTGGCTAATTGCGCGTGAGATGATCGATGGGAGAAGATTCTGCGCGGGGTAAACCTCGAGGTGTAATAACGCGGTGCACGTGCACGCGAGATCGCTGGTGCAGCCAGCTCGTTAATTGTCAAAATGTCAATCGCAAACACGGTGTGTACTTATCGAATTTCCAAGCGTTAGACGGCGCGTCGAGGATCGACGAGACGTGCGAGTCGCAAGGACGGTCCTTGACCAACTGTGCGAGTCGCCAGTCGATCGTCGATCGAGCGGAACGAGGAATACACGTTCTTTTGTGCAATAGCTTCTCCAAACGTTCTACGTTCGTTTCTTTCGTTGAAGAAATTTATTAGGATAAACGGATACGCGCGGTCACGGCGCGCACGGTTGCGTCTGTGTAAGTCATTTTCATCGGTACATTTACGTCCCTCTATATCGTAACTTGGCGTTATCGAGTCGCGAGGCACGCGTGGAACCGAGCGTGTAAATATCGGTGTGCGTTCCCGCGAGCATCGCGAAACGACGAGTATCTTATGCCTCTTGAAGGCTTTAAACGATCCAAAGCTCAACGAGGAAGAGGAAATTTCTGACAATACGCGTCGTCGAATCGGCAAACCAAGCGTTTCCGGTCTATTTCTCTGGCATCGATACGTACACGAGAGAACGAGGGTGGATGTCGATAACGGGGTTTCCGTGAAATTATCGTTAACTTTTGACGAGGTGACGAGGTGTATAGACTCGGTGTGCGACTTGTTCGAAAGGAAGACCATGGAGGAAACGCGAGACGATGGAAAAAGAGGCAAAGATATTTCGCGTACAGCGCTTATTATTTTGCAGACTGAACTAATTTCGCGACAGTAGAACGAGCGAGTGTATATAAAGGGAAGAGAAGAGAATCCGGGTGGTAGAATACAGGAAAATCGATTATTCGTCTGTTTCGTGGACAGACCGGATGAAAGATACCGTGAGAAGATGAATATACTTTAACCAAACACCGTGTAGTGAGAGTAATAATAAATTAAAAAAAGTATAGCGATAGTCGGCCGACGATTACGATTAATCTTCGACGTTATCATTATTCTTGTCATTGTCATTATCATTACGATTATAATTACCATCGTCACTGTGATTAGATATATTTTTTTGCTCAACACGAATCGAATACAGGCGGCGGGAAGACGGACAAACAGACATTCACGATCGATACATGTTCAATCTTCCCAGGGGGTTACCATTCCGACGATATTATTGCTATTATTGCCATTATTACCACTATTGTCGTTACGTTCTCGTCATTATTACGATTATTATTGTTGCCGTTGATAAAGTTGTACGAATATATAAGTTCAATGACATGCTTTAAGTAAGTATAAATGTTACTCCGATTGAATAAAGGGTATTTATCGATGAATCTGGAACTCGTTCTTTTCAGACCTTTTAGAAAATTTGCGATGCCACGATGACAAAATGCGGTATTCGACAACATGGCGGGTATCTATGATATATTTTCTAAATTTATCTCTGAAGATCATACGACCAATCCGACTCGTGATTTACTAGGGAATATTTGCTTGGCGTTGATGGTTCCACTAGGAACCGCCATTTTGAATTTACCTGCCTGCCTTCTGCCTGTCGAAAACGACATTCATCGAGGAAGTGGTGCAGGAAATAAAGTCAAATTTAAAAGTTGCCTATCATTATATTTGCATTTTCATTATAAAAAAAGAGTCTTGTTTCACAAAGCAACGTCGTATTCGACATAGTGACGTATCGTATAATACCTGCATCATCGTATATATCACAATAAAATGGACGTGCGAATGAATTTCGCATGTGGTATGTACATCGTGTAAAATGACAATCATCGAAATCATATGGCAAGCAAACGTATTTCCTCTAAAAAGCCGCACGATTGTCTAAGCGATGATACTCGGAACGTTTCCGGTTCCGACACTTTTTAGGACTCCTACTTTTCGCCTCCTACTCCTCTCCGTCTTTCAAGGGTTTCGTCGAGTTATTCGAACAACGACGAACGCTATTCCTCGTGAAGATAAGGAACACGTATAGATCCTACACAGATATGACATAGAAACGCACGACGCGTGTAGAATACCAACTATTCGTATTTGCTAGTTTAGATTCGCTCTAAATTAGCCAAACGAAATAATCGTGCTCGCTACGAATTTATCGTCAAGTCCGTTTCGAGTCTCGACACTTCTGGAACTACTTATCGGAGTCATGAGTATTTCGTGCAAACATTTAGGCTTGTGTCTCTCTAATGAGGCGCTTTCCGGAAGGCACAATGTTTACGTCTTCGTTGACTCTCTCGATTCTTTCCGTCCCTCCAGTTTCTGCGACGGAATTCGATGGAATACGACGAAATTCGACGGAATTTGGCGAAATTCGATTCGCCGTTCGTCTCTCACACGTGGAATCCATCGAGCAGCGTAACGACCAACGCGATACGCTCCTCATCTTCGACTCTAACTTCGATCGGTATCGTTGCGTTGATTCAGTGACAAAAGCGGAGTCTATTAGAGGACAGTCCATCTAGAGGACAGTCCGTTTGTTTCCTTGAACACAAATATCTTTAGTCTAGGTAAACGAGGACCAGTGTTACGTCGAGTCACGATCGCTCGTCGTTGACAGTTCTTCGAGTGCACTCTCGTCGTTGACAGTGCAGTGGCGGCTATAACGACGGACAGAGTCCTCTCATCCACCTTCGCGCTTTTGTACTTGGCTGGTTCTTAGCTGAATCGCCGTTCGCTGGACCTCCAGCACACCGCAAGCCTTCTTTGTTGCGATCATGATTCCTACTGCCAAATATCTCACCTGAAATGAACAAAATGGTCAGTATCAACGAAGAATTACCAATAAAAAAATCAAAGAATGTAAACACGCGTCAACCACTGTTTAACATTGGCTACTCTACCAGAGTTGTAAAAATCACAAAACAGAGGTATTTTACTTTCGAAACTTACACGATCGATAAATCATAGACCCGATGGAACAGTAGACGTTAAAAATATCCGACAGCGTACTCGCACTGTGTCATGACGTCACCGAGTTATATAGAACGACTCATAGCATCACTGGAAACAAACCGAGCGATAGCACCGCGTCACAATTTCTCCACGAACGTGGAATTTCCTGACTTCGTTTCACCCCCACCCTTTGTGTATATTCCAGGCCAAATAGTTCTCACGAACGACTTACGAACGAGTTTATACGTCGAACTACTCGTTCGTTTCATACGTTTACCAAGAGAGTTCCTGTTTTGTCATCGAAACAACGAAACGTTTAGCTAGAAAAGTAAAGAAATAAATTTTACCTCGCGTAAGGTGGCGGCGGTGACGGCGTGGGGTCCCTAGAAGCGATCTCCACGGTCCTAGGGACCATGGTGTGCACGGTTGGCAGCGACACCATAGTGGTATTATTCTGTCTGGGTAGCTGACTAGGATTCAGCTTGATTGCATCATCGTAGCTAGGTGGCGCGTCCGTAACTGCCTCGTAGTCTGGTGGCTTTTGTCTGGAGCCACTAGATGGTTCCTCGATGGAGATCACGTGAATCGGGTCGTCTATCTGCAACGGACAGAGTTGTCTTTCGAATCAATCAATCACTGGACAGCGCGCGAGACACGAAACGTAAACGACACGGAATCAAGATGACCATGATTCGATGCAATTCTATCGTGGCTCGAAGCCACGAGTGATCAATGTCCGCCTTTCGAATGTGGCCCCTTTAGTACGAATCCGTTGTTATCGCGTTAATACTTTACGACCACGTTGCACGACCGGCCGCAAGGATATTAACCCCGAAATGGTTATTCTTCTATATATATCGCGGCTGGTCTATAGATATCCACCTACGTGTTCGCCTCGACACTCTTTAGAAACTTTATAGCTGGCCGGATCTAAGTCACGAAAGGGCGCGCGTTTACCGCAGAGTTACGTACCACGGATACAGAACAGGATGAAAATAGCGCCGGTTATTCGAGGCTAGAAAGAAAGCTTCGCGGAAAATTGCATAATCGGTCGGGCTGAATCTCAAGGTGAATGACTGAGAATCGCCGTTGATTTCCTTCGCCGAAACGACCGCTGCACCGTTCGCGCAGCAGGGATTTTGCAAGGCTGACAACCGTTGCACGATCCCTACCGGCTAGTCCAATGTTTCCGTTCGTTGCTCTTCTTTCGCTCTACGAATGATCCAACTTTTCTTATTTCGCAATAACTACGGTTTTATTTCTTCGGCAAACAATTTTACGGGACAAAGCTTTCGCGTGCTCGACCTCACGTGTCGAAATTTCGCGCGCGAAACTTTTGTTCCACGAAACTCTGTCTCTGATGGAAACTTTATCCGAATTATGCAGAAACGGCAGGTAAAAAAGTATCGTGCCAATTTTAACAAACCCTATTCTCCGTTGCGAGTGTTACATAATATTAAATGACGATCGAATCGACGGCGGAATACATTTTTTGCAACATTGAAATAAAAATGGAGTCGTGTATTTCATGACGACACCCGCGCTTCTGGTATTATCAGCGATTAGGTGATCGAACAAGGTGCGTAAGTGGACTTTAACGATCCGTAATACGGTCATTTGTAATTGAAATGAATGATAATTGTAAAGCATAAATTAGTCGCGGTGTATCGTTAGGCTCGTAAAAAGCGTATATACCCGGCAACAATGACACGCCGTTTGCCAGATTTTAATCAATAAACTTTCGTAACAGCGTACAACAGGCAGCAGTATTATCTAAGTTATTCGCCTTTCCATTATTTCCCTTCGCAAATTCCTCCTGTCGCTTCCGACGTCGTGCGAAATCCGCTTGATTAGTTTCCGCGAGACGAAAATAACGATAAAACCTCGAATGTCAATCCCCGCGCGAGAACGTTTGCGCAGGAGAAAATTCGTACCTACGGTACCCTCGCGGACGTGTCAATCTGCGACACGGTAGAATAATCGAAGGATGGCCGCCGATAAATATAGATACGTGCTTCCGGGTGAATATCCTTACAGTAGATAAGTGCACTGTAACTACCAGCGACCTCCTTTATGCATCGAGCCGCAGACAGACCTTTGCATTTCTATTGTTTCCCCGGGTGCAACGAAAAGAGGAACGGCTGCTATTCTAAGCCACGCGACTATACTACGCCTACATACCGTTTTAGAAACAAAACGACGAAAAAGGGGAGGGAAAAGAGAGAAGGAAAAGGGAGAAAAAAATGAAGGGAAAAGGAGGAAAGGCGGTGAGAGAGGGGGAGAAAGGGGAAAAGGGGGACAGGTTTCGGGAGCGAAATTTTTGCACGACCAAGATTCGAGTGAAATGAAAGCGTGGACACAATGGATCGGGGAGGACAAAAGAGGGACGTTGCGAACAAAGATACGATAGAATGGCGGAAAGATGAGAGGAAACGTGCGATAAAAGACTTGGTCCAATG